ATGCATTGTGCCGTCTCGTTCGTCTGATATCATTATGGCCCCCGCCGATGGTCCCAGATGATGATGTGTCTGTGTGTCTGACTCTGGGGCATTTCCGAGTCGATGGAAACTTGCGCATCCCCTTCAAGGTTAAAAGTGTCCTCGGGATCCGGATCCCGGAGTCCGGACGGATAGTCGCGCCGAGACGACCACACGATGGGAGAGCCCCATTGATGAGATCTGCGGACAAGTCGTTACTTGCAATGGTAGCCTTATGGGTTCTTGGCGAATGAAGATGAACACCGTTGAGCATATCCATGAAGATTAAGTGAGAAGCCAAGGGGTCAAGCAGGTCGCTCACGAAGAAGGTCTATTTGAACAGAGTGTAAGAAACGTGCCGGCAGAACCTACCTTGATTTATGTGGTACAAAAAGAAAGTACCTACCCTACATTACCTTCCATTTGGTCATCAGCTTTATGAGCAGAAGCCACATAACATTTGAGGTAAGTGCAAACTATCTCAAAGTACCTAGACAAGATACCCACCAAGTAGGTGAGATGCTCTGCTGCTATTTATCCTTAGGACTTCTTCAGTGAAATATCGTGATTAAGAGAAGGATCAGATATAGGCGGTTCCGGGGGGTGTAAGTCACTCCCACGATAGCTGTAGATAACTCAACGCCGCATGTCTCCCTCTCCTGAAACCCTTTCAGGGTGACTGTCGCCAGTAACTGTATTGTTGCGATACTTGCGTCCATGATATCATGGCATCTATCTGATCCTACCTCTGGCACATGGTCTAGCCAGCCTCTACCAATCCATTATAACTCTCACGATATGCATCCCCTTTACGAACCCTGGTGGACATTGGGACACTTACCAGGTTCTTTTGAAATATATCATGTGCTACTTATTCAGAACATGACTTTGAGCGTCTCATCTCTGTAGACATCAAGCAGACCAAAAAAAACCTAGCTTAAAGGCGATTGCCGACAGAGCGGAATTTCATTATCCGGGACGGGCACGACGGTCAAGGCGCGTTCGACATCGTTACTTGGTATCGTCTCTGGGCATCGTTGCTTAATGTTGTACGAAACACTCTGAACGCGTACTCATTCTTCGGGTTTGACATGATTTCTCCAATATCGCGTCACGTTTGATCGAACAACACGTTCAACGCTCCATAACAACCCAAACAGCACCCATGGTCTCAACCCTCCCACCACCCTTCTTAATCTCCTCAACCGCATCCCGAATCTCCCTCACATATCCCAACAACTCTTCCTCCTCATCCTTCCCCAACCCCTCGGCGACAACCTCCTCAGCCCACGACGCATCAACCACAACCCCAACCTCCCATGCCCCATCCAACAACCCAGGCGTATCAACAACACCCCTCTCCCGAACCTTCCACCCAGCCCCCTCCGCCAACTTCACAATCTCCTCGGGCGCAAGCGCGCCGCGGACGTTGCCCTGGTCCAGACTAAACCCCTTCTCCGCGCCAGCCCGCAGCGCATAAAACCGCTTCTGCGCCGCGACGGCCAGTTCGTGCGGTTTCTGCGCGGGAGTCCGGGCTTTGAGTGCGTATTCTGCGAAACAGAGTTTGGAGACGTTGGGCTTGTAGAGGACTTTGAAGAGGGAGGTGATTGCGGCGCCGGAGGGGAAGTACCACAGCGAATGACAGAGCGTAGCGGCGTCAAAGGCTGAGGAGGGGTGCGATGCGAGGTAGGTCGGCGCGTCGGACTGGTGGAAGGTGATTGCTGCGCCGTGGGGGGAGGAGGAGATGTGGGATTGGGATTGGGCGAGGGTGTAGGGGCTGCCGTAGTCGCCGGGGGCCGGGTCTAGGGCCGTGATGTGGCCGGCCTGGCCCGGGCCCGGGCTGGCGTTGTTGGCGTCGCCATCGGCGGCGATGGAGAGTGGGGCTACGGCTTGGGAAAGGACGAGGGCGGAGTCGCCTTGGCCGCAGCCGATGTCGAGGACGCGGCTGCCGGGGGCGATGGACCAGAGGGAGGCGAGGCGGAGGCGGTGGGTGAGTTGCGGGAGGAGGACTTTGTGTAAGTGGGCTGGATCGTGAGGATAGGATTTTGCGAGGGAGAGGAGGAGAGGAGAGGGGGATGGCGGTTGGGCGTTTGGCTCGTGGTTGGATTGAGACATTGTAGTGAAGTGATTGTGTTTGTTTTTTCTTTCTGTTGGACGAAGTTTGTTGAATGTTAGCTTAGTTGCAATTTTGGACGGGGATAGGTTGGGTAAATTGAGGAATTGGCTACTGATGTGTTGGTGGTGTTTTGATCGTGGTTTTAATTGAAGCTGGATTCCGGTCACTTATATCCAGCATTCAGATCCGTACCTTTGCGCACATCTACCTGTCAAAATAGTCCCCTTACTCAATTGAGATCACTAATTTGACCCGAATGAGTCTCACAATAGAACCAGATGAACAATCTACGGCAATATGAGAATCCCGACCTTCCTGAATGAGATCAAAAAAGAGGGTTGAAAATGAGTCACATCCTCACAGACGATTGTAGTCGAATTTGGCCTCAATTGAAGGATTCGATTTTTGGCCTCACTTATGTGGGTTCGCCCCAAACCATCGGGTTTCTCATCACGCAATCGCGATTTTGGATGCTAAGCCTTGATCGGGGTAAGCATACTCCCAGTAAACGCGATTCTCAAAGGGGGCCGAATGTGACGAAAGGCAATTAGCCTTTGAGAATACAGGTAAAAAAACAAAGTTTGAGCCTTTGAGAAGCCATCGCCTGACATGAAATAGTAATAACGAAAATGGTCAAACAACAACTTTTGTGTGGTATCACTCATTGAACACACTCCACGCCGTCCTCGGCAAGATATCCTACGAGGACCGCAATCTTACAACTTGGCAGAGACGGTTCTGCTCTTCTTGAGAATCTCGTCGCCCACCTTGGCAATCTCAAACTTGCGCACCTTGCCGCTGCCCGTGAGGGGCACGTTGGCCGGCACGCCATCCTCACCGAGCCAGAAAATGTGCGCAGGGCTCTTGTGGCCGCCGAGGCGCTGGCGGACCCAGTCCTTGAGCTCCTGGAATGAAGGCTTGTCCGCGTTCTCGGCGCGCTGCACAAAGGCACCGACGACCTCGCCGTAGTGCTCGTCCTTGAGGCCGACAACGATGGCCTGGGAGATGGACGGGTGGGCCATGAGGCGCTCTTCAATCTCGAGCGGGTAGATGTTCTCGCCACCTGAAGGGAGAAAGTTGTTAGTACATTGTGCTGTTGTTGCGTGACGGACATTTATAGCTTACCTCGGATGATGATGTCCTTGAAGCGGCCGGTGATTGAGCAGTATCCGGCGTCGTCAAAGACGGCTTCGTCACCAGTGTGCAGCCACAAGACACCTGCAGAGTCACGGACCATGACCTCGTTGGTCTTCTCCGAGTTATTCCAGTAGCCAGCCTGCAGCTGGTACCCGGCCATGCAAAGCTCTCCGCGCTGGCCCATGGGCACAACGTTGCCGTCTCTGTCGACAATCTTGGCCGAGGCATGGGGCATGAGCGTACCGACGGTGGTCAGTCTCTTACCCAAGGCATCGTCGGTGAAGGCGTTGAAGCAGGTAGGCGATGCCTCGGTCAGACCGTAACTGCTGGTGAACTCTCTCATACCGAGACGATTGACCATCAACTCCATCAGATATCTTGGGACAGGGGCCCCGGCCACAATTCCGGTGCGGATCTTGGATGACTTGAAGTCATCAGGTGCTGCCTGGAACAGGGAATCGAACATGGCAGGCACGCCGTGGAGTGCTGTGCAGTCCTCCTCGAGAATGGCCTTGAGTGTCGCCTTGGTGTCGAAAACTTCCGCGGGGTAAACAATCTTGGCACCGTGCGTGATGACAGACAAGAGGCCGAGGACAAGACCGAAGCAGTGGAACAGAGGGGGAGGGCAGCACAGCACGTCGTCCGGGGTGAGGCGCATGCGATCACCAATGAAACGAGCGTTGTTAACGACGTTGCTGAATCCAAAGTTAGCCTCTTCGACCTCCTCTATCAGCTTGATCGCACTTACTGATGGGTAAGCATGGCGGCCTTGGGACGGCCAGTGGTACCACTGGTGAACTGGAGGTTGCATACTTGATGCGGCACCACCTTGCTCATGGCCAGGTGAAGCTCTCTCGGGCTCTGCCTTGAGCTCGACTTGATGAGGTCGTCGTATGTCTGATATCCGCTCGTGTCGCCCCGAATCATGACAATCTTGGGCCCGTTGATCTTGTTCGCTATTTGGCTCAAGAACTTGGTGTTGTCGAGTCTGCCAATCTGCTTGGTGGTGAAGAGAATCTTGCATTCTGAATAACGGAGTTAGCTCGGAAATCAGCAACTGTTAGACTAGTAACTAACCTGAGAACTCAACAGCGTACATGGCCTCGCTAGGAGTGTACGTGTTGTTCAGAATAACGAGAATAGCACCGATTCTAGAGACTGCAAAGAAGATGGCGGCGTATTGCTCGCAGTTGCCTGCCATAACACCGACTCTGTCACCGGCCTTGATGCCCATCTCGAGTAGGGCCTGCGCGAGCAGCAAGCTCTGCTGGTTGAGCTCATTGTAGGTCCATCGTGCACCGGTCCAAGGAATCACCAAGCATTCCTTGGTGCCGTGTTGGTAGGTCTGGAGCTCCAGCAGCTCGCCGAGACTGAGGTCAACCAGAGGAGGATCGCGGGGTCCGTGGAGGATAGACAGCTTCTGAGTGGGAGCTAAAGGCTCGGATACTGGGGTTGTTGATGCTTCTGCGGCCATTGTGTCGACAAATAATTACTGAATAAATGCTTCAATTGCTTAACGAAATTACTACAGAAGACAAATTGAACGTCTTGGTCTTGGTCGAAATGTTTGTCTATGGCAGGTCCAAAAAAGTGTCACCGCGATCTAGGTGCAACGCCGGCCATCCTCTCGGGTCGCATGGCAGAAATAACTGGCCTGGGTCCAGATGGCAGAGACGACCCATGTCCAAAGGGCCCTGCATCTGCGTCACCGAGGAACGGCTTTCGGGGATCATCTGGATCCAGCAAGGAGGCAAGCCGCAAGCGAGGTCTCTTCACCCCCCGCTGCCGCTGGGCTGGGCTTTAGCCCGTTAAGGTGTTGGCCGTGCTGCTTTGCCGGCCACCAAGATGGGGCGCCACACAGCGGGACGTTGCGAACTTGCACGCAGGTAATCGTACGGCGCAGAACCTTAGCTGGGATTGCTTCTTTTCTTCCTTGGAGGTTTTCACCTTGCCCTGCGTATGTAGCCAGCGACGGGCTAGACCGAACGGGCAATTGTTTCACGACAAGTACCTGGAGTATTCTCGAGTATTCCCAGTGTTGAGGGGCGTATACGAATGGTCGAAAAGGCTACTCGCGTCATGACAGGGCGACTCGATTGGCGATGCGAGGACACACATAGTGACACATCAAAACGAGCAGATGGGTTCGATGGAGCCACGAGACTTGTTAGGAACTGTGTGCTTGCCAGCGAGCGGACTTTGTCACTTTGTCACGTCCTCGTGTATATCCGGCGGGCTGACAGCGAGTCTAGAGCGTGGGAGGAGTGGGATCGCGATGGATCATACGTGTGGGTGTGTCAGAGTAAGGTCCCAGGTCCCAGGATGCTCTTGAGTCTTGAAAAAGTTGACATGTGTGATTGCATTGAATGTGGAGGAACTTAGGGTCGTGTCTCAAATTGGTCAATGGCGTTTGCAGCTCCTTCCCCTCCATCGCCAGTTGCGCCGGGACTGCAGCGGTGCAGCCACTCAGAAAATAGTGAGACCCCACATGGCAGCCAAAGGGACCCCGCTGTACCCGCCACCATCCCCTGTCACCACCTCGGATAGGTTCAGTGCTCGATCTAATCAATCAAATCTTGGATCAGATAAGATTAGGGAAGGAGCATTTCACTCACCTTCTTCAGCGTGCAAAATTTTCTCTCGCTTCCATCCATCCTTCCTCAGCTTCCCACATCGTCTGAGGTACCTCCCCAAGCTCCCCTACAGGGCACCCGTGGTACAGAGTCACTGGACCCCTCCTTCCACATTCTCTCCAGTACCGCACCAAGAAAAGGTACGGAGAATCCGTACCGACATACGTACCCATGTACCTTCGTTCCCCGAAAATGTCCCTCTACATTTCTTTCCCTCACACCCTCCCAGTCACCCCTTCTCCGACTTCGGGACAATTCTTCAGATTCCATCACCCTTGAAGATTAACTCCACGCCAATCCACCGATCGCCGTTCACTCGCCTCGCCAAAGACGTCAGGTTGCATTTGCCCACCCCCCTTCTTCACCCACCTTCTAACCTTGGGACCGATGTGGGCAGATGGGCAGGAAACAAGTCGTCAGTATCGGTACCTCTGCCTCTAGCGCCTCTGTCTCTCTCACGCCATGATTCCATCTGGTACTGGACCATCGCGGTATCGTCCAACACCCTTCACCTTAACCCATCAATCCCCTCCCTCACCCGACCCCGTGAACCACGGTACCACCCCCTCATCCCGTTTCCTCCCACTTGCAGTCGTCGGGTGCGGTGTGGCGCGTCCCTCGGCCACGCAGGGTGAAAGACCAAGCGACTTCTATTTTTCATGCGAGCAAGGGCACGGTTAATATTTCGTCAAATACAATACAAAGCCAAGCCAAGCCATGCACCATCGCACAATAATCCAGGTACAGCCAACTTTCCTTTCTTTCAGATTGACTTGCAGATTTGCCTCGTCTTGGCTTCGTCTTGGCACTTTGTTTCCTGGGCGCTTTTTGTCTTGGCGCTTCCAGAAGATCCAACGTCTACCTTTAGTCTATGACACTCATTGAGTCGTTACACAGGATCCATCCTCCAAGACTCCCAAAAGGTAAGATCTGATAATCCTGCTGACATCGCAGATTCCACGTCCAAAAGCGTACGGATACTGCGTCCAGCCAGCCAACACAGCCACACGAAAGAGAAGAAAAGCTTATTGGAAAGACGGGTATCCTTGAGCACGCCACTCTTCGAAAGTCAAACCCTTGGCGGCAGACGGCATCTTTACCATCAGAGGAACTTCAACGTCCTTATCCTTGCCCACCAGCCCTCCGCGGTGCACGATCTTGTCTTGAAGCACTTCAAAACCTAGGCGTTTGTAGAGGCCGAATCCCTCTTCAGACGACTCGAGGTAGACGGGAAGTCCCGCCAGCTCGGCCATATCGAGGCCCCATTTCGTCAAAAGGGCGCCTACGCCTTTTCTTTGGTGTTCAGGCTTCACTGCAATAATATGACAGTCTGTTCCCGGGGAAAACGCAAAAGTGTGTGTCATCAGCAACTGGGGTTCACATGGTATGTCTCGAAAAGCCTGAAGAAACAAAAAAGGCGCGAACCGGGTGCAAGGGGAAGGGATCGGGAAAAGGAGGACGTGGGAGTTCACGGCGGGTCCCACTCACAAACGTATTTTCGGCCAGCCCAAAGCTTTTCTTTGGCTGCGCTGAGCGGGTTGATTAACTCATCGGCGCGAGCTCTCTGCTCGCCTTGGAGCCAAACGGCGCCAGGGCTCCTGTACTCCTCTGGTGTGCGCTCCTTGAGAAATGCGTCCCAAAGGGCCATGCCGACGACCTCGCCAGTCTCGACATCAACGCACTTGATGGTGTACTGGGTGCTGGTCTTGTGCCAGTACTCGACAGTGTGTTTCGTATGACCCTCACGGAAAGCCTCGTCAATCCCCGTCGGAAACAGGATGTCGAGGATTACCGACCCCTTGAAGGCCGCAAAATAGGCATCGTACACCTGGGGGATGTCGGGGATTAAAGCGGGTAGAACGGTGAGGCCCATGGCGTCTGAGTGAAAGCCGAGAAAGGGCAAAAATAACAGGGCAAGAATTGGCGAGTCTGCTTGTTCGCGAGCAACAGTCTGACTTGACTGAATTCGCGGTAGTCTGGCTGGTTGGTAGCACCGTCTGTCGCTGGTTGTCTTGCGATCCTGAGGTCTCTCTGCGTATGTCTGCGTCTGTGAAGCTGTTCCGAAGTGGGATAGATGGCGTTCTATGGTTCGTTCGCAGCAAGAAGAGTGCGTTCGTTTTTGCTACTTGTGCGTCAACGGCAGCGAAGGCCAAACAAATCAATGACAAACGATAGGTCGGAAATATCGGTGCAAGCAACGCAGCAGGACGGAACTTTTTTGCCGGGTCACCACAGTGCGTTGGTGGTGTGAGTATTTAGGCTGGGGATTCGTCTGAAGACTTTTCCCTCACGGAACTGGAGCAACTCCGAGCAGGTCGGTCCCGAAGACCGGCTCGATATCCTCAAGGACGCAAGGAGATGACGGACTGACGTGCCAAGCACTGTGATCACACAAAGACCACGGGGGTTGACGCGGCAGTTCTCGGTAATCCCTGAAGGGGATCGTAAGGAAATGCCGCAACCGTTGGGAGCTTCCGCTGTCAGCGGCACCGTAGCGGGAGAGCCCAAGAAGGGAATTAAACAGCGTTGCCCTTCATGGATAATGGGCTTGATGAGCGCTTACTGGATGACGCGGAGCCGTTATACCCATCTTGAGTAGGAACCATCTGCCCGTTAACCCCATGTGTGTGTGGCAGTGTGCGCCTACCTATCTTAGCCAAGGGCCCGAGTTCTCTCACACTTCACAGTAGGAGTGTGTTAAAAGGCCCAATTTCCTCCTATACTATACTATACAGAGTAGTAAGTGCTACGTTGGGCTTGGGTTCGGCTCTCCCCCTCCCCTCCACATGTGAGGCGGGCACCACTTGTCGAGATTGAGGAAAAGGTCACGACATGCATGACCCATCATCAATCTGTTCGTCACATCCTGGGAGAGTGGGAGTGGGAGATGGACGCGTTAAAGTTATCAGATCCGCGTCTCTCGAGCCGGCGCTTTTTCTCTTTGCATGCGTCACCGTCAGGCGAAGGCCGCGAGACAGCAAACCCACCCTGTTTGTGCCAATTAGTGGATAACTTGAGCATGAGAGGATGGCGGATAATAATTGAAGAGTCTGGCAATTTGAGGGAAAAAATTCTGCTGCAGAAATGAGGGCCGATGTCCTCCCGGCTCTCGCCTCAGGCCTGCCGGCCCACAAGCGGGACATGCCCCCTTGGCGCTCCTAATCAGATCCGTCTTTTAGGCCCCACACCCCCGGCCATGTACCGGTCAGGTATCTTTGTACCTCGCACCCTCCCAGCTCCCAGCTCCCCCCAAAGCTCCTGCTTCGTTTCTCTTTTTCGTAAGGTCGCATCGGAGGAAGGACCCACGACATCATCACACGCCCCTCCCCTCCCACTTCAACCCCCTTGCCTCTCTCTCTCTCTCTCTCTTTTTTCCCTCCTTCACTCCTCCCAGTAGTGTACCTTTTTTCCCTCCCGTCCAGAACCACGAGAACGTATGATGAGATGGCGCCTTAGCTCAAGGGGACCCGTCATGAAACTCTTGCCTCATTGGTGCTGCGAGGGTGTGCTCAACTCGTTCGCATCTGACGTCCCTCACTCTCTCTCTCTGTGGCTCTCCCAAAGTTCCCAGAACGCTGACTTTGTGGTACAGTCGCAATAGTTCTGCATGCAGCATACCTATGCTAGGTTCCTTTGGTGGTTCCTAGGTTGTTTAGTCAGGCCCATTCGTTCGCGCCGAAGTCGAGTTGGGCGGAATCAACGACCAGTATTCGTACCAGCGTACCAGATACTCCGTTCTTTCACACACATACGGACACAAAGTCACACATTACACAACCCATTTCTGCTATACCCACCCGGACGGCTCCATGGATTAGGCACGTTGCGCCGTTGTGGCTCGCATCTGCCCTTCCCATCAATGAGCATCGCAAGAAACTGACTGGTGTGTCTGGTGGTTCCCGGGGCGAGAAACAATATGCACGCCCTTTCTCTTTCACAGGCTTTTTTTCCCGCTTTACCCTCCTCCGCTTGCTCTCCGCAGCGGCAGCGCAGTCCATTCATGATCCAGCTCGGTCTGCGAGGAGACGTAGCTCGGCTGCAGCGCCGCCGCAAGGTACATACCGCAGTACCCAGCCATGGGGTTCGTCGATCTAATCAAGAAGTCGGGAAGCCATGTATGTTTCTCGGGTAGTCTTCATGCAAGGATACCTGCCGGACAGACCTGCAGAGTCGCACACATAAGAGCCTCTCGCGGTTACTGTGAGTATACAAGACTCCTCCGAGTCTTGGTGCATGTCTACGAAGTACTGCGTATGTGTGAGTGAAAGGGCAGCTCTCCACCCTTGGGCCGGTTGATCGTCCTCGTCAGACAAAAATCCAAACATCTTTCTTCAACAAGTCTCAAACCAGACGTCGTTTTGCAGAAGAAACCAGACGAAGCCATCATTGTCCAAAGGCTTGTGAAATGCTGCGAGTTCAACCTCGAATTACTTCATAACGCTCGTTAA